AGGAATGCTATATCTCAGCAGCTTCTTTTCCTGGACAAATCGTGGCCTCCGTCTGAGCTCTGTGAGGTCCAGTCTAGTTGGCAAAAGCACACAAAAATGTCTTTGTCTTTCTCCTGTCTCTTCTGAATAGAGGACAAGGCACTACGCCGCTCGCCCTGCAGAAGGCCCAGCAGGTGTCCCAAGGTCTGGATTTATTAACCGCGAAAGTGGAAAACGCCGCTCGCAAGCTGGAGGCAATGACCAATTCCAAGCAGGCCATTGCCAAGAAAATCGATGCAGCTCAGGTATGCCCAGGGAGGAGAGAAGCCCTCTCTTTGCTATTCTGCACACCTGTGTCAGGTGTTGATAAACCAGTTGTTCTCAGAAACGGTCTTCCACTATTGTTTGGGTCTTTGTGAAAACCTTTGTTTCCTGCACATAATCACAGTTGAGTTAAATGAACTGTTAAAGTCAGTTGTCTCTAAGAAGGGGAACGTGCTTCATGACTTTCCAGGCTGAGGTGTACTCATGGAAGTCCTACATAAGAAGAGCCCTGCTGGATCAGACCCATGGTTCATCTGTTTCGTGCAGCACCCTGTTTCAAACAGCAGCCAACCAGTTGTCCTGGAAGGCCAGACAAATGGGGCATAGAGGCTGAGGCCATCCCCTGATGCTGCCACCCGGCACTGGCATTGAGAGGTTTGCTGCCTCTGTATATGGAGGTTCCCTTCAGTCTCCAACGGCTTGATGGACCTCTCCTCCATAACATCAGAACATAAGAGATGCCAATGTTGGATCAGGCCAAAGGCCCATCCAGTCCAACACTCTGTATCACATAGTGGCCAGAAATACGAGTGCCATCAGGAGATCCACCAGTGGGGCCAGGACATTAGAAGCCCTCCCACTGTTGACCCCCCCAAGCACCAAGATATCCATGTATCTGTCCAACCGCGTTTTTAAGCCATGGCCATCACTACACTCACTGACAGTGTCTTCCACCATTTAATTACTTGCTCAGTAAGAAAGTATTTCCTTTGGTCTCCTGGATCTGTTTCGAGGAGCAGATGCTTGTAGAACAAAACTCCAGTTCTGAAGTTTGCAGATACTCGCTGGGTGTGACTTCCGGTGTGCCTTTATTTCTCAAAAAGGTATTATACAGTTGACCATGGCTGCATCTACACCAGGGCACTTTTCTGTGGTAGTCTGGCTGCTGACGTGCTTCTGCATGAAGTCGACCTTGCAAGAGGGATTCCAGACAGCCCCGGGGAGTTGGTCCTCAACTGCAGTCTCCCTTTCATGCCTGCTGTGTTCTCATATCGCCTCCAGGATTCTCTGCCCACTCTTTTTAAATTTTCTTTGTTTTGAGGAGCAAGGTTAACACAGCACTGCACAGAATCAATGTCACGCCTTAGTTCAAAAAATGAAAAAGAAAACCTCCAGGTCTTTGCAGCCACATCTGACAATCTTAGGGAACATTAGGAAGAACTTCTTGATAGAGCAGTTCATCAGTGGAACAGGCTTCCTGGGGAGGTGGTGGGCTCTCCTCCTTTGGAGGTTTTCAAACAGAGGCTAGATGGCCATCTGACAGCAACGCTGATTGTGTGAACTTAGGCAGATCATGAGAGGGAGGGCAGGAAGGGTTGCCTCAGGGCTTAGTTCTCATGGCCCTTTCTTACAGGCCCAGGGAAATGCTGATCACCACTAGGGATGTGCATTCGGTTCGTCCGAACTGAATGCACTCACGAAAATGGCCCATTCGGACCCCTTTTGGGCTGCTGCAGGCCGATTCAGATTCTCTGATCTGAATCGGCTTGCCGCCAAATTTCGGCCGCAATTCGGCCCCATTATATCCTATGGGCCATTGAAGTCAAAGGCAAAAACATAGGGTAAATTCTGGGGGCTGGAGGGGAGCAGGTTTGAGGGAGAGGCCCCAAACTCACAGGTAGCTGCTGGAGCCTCTCCCCAAGACACCCACCAGGGGGTCCAATTCTATGGGCCCTCAAACAGGTTGCCCCTATCCCCTCTATTGTTCTCTATGGTGGGGAAAAAGTAAAAGGGTCAGGTGACCCTCTGGGCAACAGAGGGGAGGGGGAGCACTCCTAGAGCCTAGGAACGTCTTTATTTATTTATTTAAAAGTTTGGAAGCTCTTCTCTGCGGCAGGCCTGCAATCTTGCGGTCCCACATGTGTGCCTGCACAGAAGACACCTCAATCCTAGAATCATAGAGTTGGAAGGGGCCATACGGACCATCTGGTCCAACCCCCTGCCCAATGCAGGAGCAGCCTAAAGCATCTCTGACAAATATTCATCCAAGCTTCTTCTCGAAAGCTGCCAGTGAAGGAGAGCTAACCACCTCTCTAGGCAGTTGATGCCTGGTTTTTGTGTGGGGCTGGGTGGGTGGGAGGAATGGGCTGTTAACAATCTCTGCACAGAGAATGACATCATGTAGAAAAACATGAGCCAATCGTGTGACTGAAACATGGGAAATCCTTTGATGAAAGCAGCCCTGATTTATAAAATCTTGTTTCTTCCTCTAAGATCACTCCTGCCTGTTACCCTGTGGTAAGGTTCCCCCCCCCAAAAAAAAACACACGAAAGAACCCTAGTTTAGCCTTTTTGTCTGGCCAGTTCTAAAAGAGACTTTTGGGGACCATATAAAAACCTAACTTCAGATGAATTGCTTAAGCCTGATCTATTTGCCTTGGCTGCAAGGAAAATACGGGCCAACGCTGTTCTTAGCTAATACTGATTTTAGTGGATATGTTGTGAATTAATTGTTTATAACCTCGGTTTTATGGATTTATAATGTTTTAGACTGTATCTTATTTTATACAATTTTCTATGCTTAAGCCTGAGGAAGATGCTAGTGGTAGAAATATGCTGTACTACATATTGAACCACCGAAGACTCAAATATTAAAGGTCATTCTCTAAAAGAGATGTGTTGATACCATTTTTTTTTAAATACAAAGAGCTGGCTAGCAGATCCCCATGGGGGCAGTGAAGGAGAGGAACACATTCGAGGGATTATGACCGAAGCCAGGAAAATCGCAGAGCTCTGTGAAGACCCCAAAGAGAGGGATGATATTCTGCGGTCCCTGGGAGAAATCTCTGCTCTGACAGCTAAATTGTCAGACCTCCGAAAACAGTGCGTATTCTCATGCTTCGGCCAACGTCATTATGCTCAGTATGTTTTCTTGATTCCAGTCTTGGACAAAGTTGTTTGCGTCACGTTCCATAGCTTTGAAATGTTATGTCTGTATACTTTGCTTTACGTTTGCATGGCTGGCTAGTTATGTATTTATGCCATCGTCCGATTGCGTGTCTTTTGGGAGGGGAAGGGGAGGGGCTATGGAGACATTCATGCTACATACATAAATGGGTTAATGTCAAACTCGGATTCTTATTTGCCATGTTTTCTGGGGGATTGAGGCCTGCAGGGGGAAGGGAAATTTTGGGGGGGGGGGAGAGAGTGTGAGAAATGGCTTGATTGTAGTGGTGATGTAACTCTTCTTAAGCAGCCTCCCTGTCACGGGCTGGAATGCAGGCACAACGAGTGAGGGATAGTCCAAGTCCAGACCAAGGTCAAAGCCGAGGGGTAGCGAGACAGGAACTGAATATCAGAGTCCAGAGCCAAACCGATAGCGTAGTGGTCAAAGCCGAGGTTGAGGAGCCGAGAGTGTAAAGTACAAACCGATAGCGTAGTGGTCAAAGCCGAGGTTGAGGAGCTGAGAGTGGAAAGCACAAATCGAGAGTGTAGTGGTCAAAGCTGAGGTTGAAGAGCCGAGAGTGTAAAGTACAAACCGATAGCGTAGTGGTCAAAGCCGAGGTTGAGGAGCTGAGAGTGTAAAGCACAAATCAAGAGTGTAGTTGCCGAGGTCGAGGAGCCGGGAGTTCAGAGCGCAGGTCAGGAACCGGAACACAGGCGAGGTGGGTGCGGAAGCATTCGTCAATCTGAGTAGTTTGTTTTTTTTTGTCTGACTAGTTGCTGGCACAAGAAACTAGCACGGACTAGGGCACTAAATACCCCTCAAGGCTGCTGTCAATTAGCGTTCAGCGCATGCATCCTGGCTCCTGCTAGAACTCAGGGCTCAGGGTCCGCCTGCTGTGCAGTTGCACCTCCCTTTGCCGGGATGCTAAGTCCTGATGGAGCTGGTTCCGCAGAGTCAGAGTCGAGTCGGGGGGGGGGGGCTGTCTTCCGTGCGTCGTTCCTTCTCAGCTATTGCTGGGACAGGCAGTAAGGATGCACCAACGGGCTCATCAGGAACAGGTGCAGGTTCTGCCGAGGCCGGGAGCTAATCCTCAGCAGCACTCATGACACTCCCTAAGCAGGATGACCTTGGTCAGTCTCTGTGCTTGCCTCGCTGTCAGAGATAACGTATGGATAGATTTACAGGTGTGGGTGCAGAGCGCACGAAAGCTAGGCGGGATGGTTGTAATGTGTGATTGGATGGGACCGGGGGGGGGGGGGCTTGTTTGAACTGGCTATATCTTTGGATTCTCCCACCAGAACCTCAGTTCTGACACAGTACCGTCTTAGTTTGGAACTTTTTATTTTTCAATAAACAAATCACTGCCAGAAAATGTTGCTGAGAGTTACTTTGTCCAAGAGTCTGACAGTTGAACAGTCATTCTGTCTTCCTTATGGAATGCTGGGAATTGGAAGCCAGGGTGGTGTGGTGGTTAGAGTGGCAGACTGGATCTGGGAGACCCAGGTTTGAATCCCCACTTGGGCCATGGAAGCTGGCTGGGTGACCTTGGGCCAGTCACGCTCTCTTCTCAACGTCACCTGAGGATAAGATGGGGGAGAGGAGGAGGGTGTCGGCCACTTTGGGCTCCCACTGGGGAGGAAGGCAGGGTAGAAACAAAGTAAATAGATGACCGCATTCCAGGAGGGGGGGCTAGACGTGGCTAACAGGGTTCTCAGCACTTTACCAAAACAATTCCCAGGACCTTTTGAATGATGTCTTGAAAATTAATTTGGTTTGAGACCAGTGCAAGCTGCAATACTGCAGACAGAGGCTGCAGACCGTGGGACATCATTAGCAGTACAATCCTGGGTAGGCTAGTCTGACCTCCTGAGGTCTTGGGAGCTGAGAAGGGCTGGTCCTGGCTGCTATCTGGATGGGCGACCTCCAAGGAATATCCGAGTCGTGCCAAGGAGGCAGGCCATGGGCAAACCACCTCTGAAGGCCTCTTGCCTTGAAAACCCCACCGGGGTCGCCATAAGTGGGCTCCAACTTGACCACACTTCCCACCGCTGCCACCACACTCCTGGGCAGGGTTACTTCTGTGGGCTGGGACTGGAGGAATTAGGCATAAGGTTGCACTTGTAAATGTGTCGGAGACGGCTCTCAGCTGAATAAAATGAAATTGCATCTTCAGTTGAACTTTCCCTGTTAGCTTTGCTTTGGTGCCCTGGGCTACCGCCTTTCCTTTTGGAAGCAGCGCTTTGTGTTACTGTTATTAAAAATGTAGCCTCCAGGCCTTTGTGAAATGTCGGCGACAAGGGGGCTTGTGTAAATCAGCGGGTTGTACTTGTGAGGATAATATGCCAGCCTTGCCCTCTTAACTGAAGCCAGCCTCCTTTTTTAAAACGGAAGTCCCGAAGCCCGCTGAAGCGCCTTCCTCTCTGATCTGCAGGGGGAAAGGGGATTCTCCAGAAGCCCGTGCCTTGGCCAAGCAGATCGCCACCTCGCTTCAGAATCTGCAGTCGAAAACCAACCGGGCGGTGGCCAACAGCAGGCCAGTCAAAGCCGCGGTCCATCTGGAAGGCAAGATTGAGCAAGCTCAGAGGTGGATCGACAACCCTACAGTCGATGACCGTGGAGTAGGTAAGTGGTTCACTCTCCGTGGGCTAGACCACGGTTCAAGGGGCACCTGATTCCGATCGCCTCTGCTGCTCCCCACCCGTGATCTCCCTTCAGATCCTCCTCCTCCTCTCTCCTTTCCCAGTTCCTGAAACAGGGTGGGGTGAAAGAGACCAGGGGCAGTCAGCAAGAAGAGGGCAACCCTGTGCCGAGATCAGGGCTCCAGAGGCATCTGGACGTCAGTGTGCTTCGATTGGAGGAGCTGCACAGAACCACACCGCCCTAACCAGAGCTGGGCCCTCCTCCGTCTGCCGAGGCCCCTGGTCTGAGAAAAGGGTGTCAGTCTGCCTGGGAGTGGTGGGAAGGGAGACCGAGGAGGGAGCACACCAGCCAGAGGGCAGGCCCTCCTTTGTCTCACCGGTTTCAGAAGGGCCTGAGAGAGAAGGGTGCTTGTGCTGTTGCCCATTTAGTCATTTGTATCCTGCCTTTCTGCCCTGAAAGAGGCACAGATCCTTCAGGTCCTGTTGGACTAACCCTTATCTCCTTCTTTTGGTGCCAGTTTGGAGCCAGTTTGGTGTAGTGGTTAAGTGCGCGGACTCTAATCTGGGAGAACCGGGTTTGATTCCCCACTCCTCCTCCACTTGCACCTGGCTGGATGACCTTGGGCAAGCCGTAGTTCTGATAAGAGCTGTTCTTGAAAAAGAGCCGTTTCTGTCAAGAGCTCTCTCAGCCCCACCTCCCTCACAGGGTGTCTGTTGTGGGGAGGGGAAGGGAACGGAGATTGTAAGCCGCTCTGAGACACCTTTGGGTTGTGAAGGGCGGGGGATAAATCCAATCTCTTTTCTTCTTCTTTTGAGGGTTATTTTACTTTGTTGAATTGGAGATGCTGTGGACGTCATTTATCTTGATATCAGTAAGGCTTTTGATATGGTTCCATGTGGTGTTCTTGTTGACAAGTTGGTAAAATGTGGTTTGGATCCTATGACTGGTAGGTGCGGCTGATTGATAGAGTGCTTGTGAGTGGTTCCTCATCCCCTTGGAGGGGAGTGACCAAGCGGGAGTGGCACAGGGATCTCTCCTGGGACCTGTTTTGTTCAACATCTTTATCAATGATTTGAATGAAGGAATAGAGGGAATGCTTAATAAATTTGCAAATGATACTAAATTGGGAGGGGTAGCAAATATGGTAGAAGACAGAGTCAGGATATAGGATGATCTTGACAGACTGGAAAACAGGGCTAAAACAAATAAATTGAATTTCAGTGGGGATAAATGTAAAGTTTTGCATTTAGGTAGCAAAAATCGAATGCATAATTATAGGGTAGGGGGGACTTGTCTTGACAGTAGTGCTTGCAAAAAGGATTTAGGGGTCTTGGTAGACCATACACTGAACATGAGTCATCAGTATAATGCAGTAGCTAAAAAGGCAAATGCCATTTTGGGCTGCATCATCAGAATTAAAATGTCCAGATCACGCAAAGTGATGGTGCCGCTTCACCCTGCTCTGGTTAGACCTCACTTGGAGTGCTGTATCCAGTTTGGGGCACTACAGTTTAAGAAGGAGGCTGACGAGCTGAAACGTGTCCAGAGGAGGGCAGCAAAAATGGTGAGATGGTGAGAGGGCAACAGACATGGTGCGAGGTCTGGAGACCAAGTCCTAGGAGGAAAGGCTGAAGGAGCTGGATACGTTTAGCCTGGAGAGGAGATGGCTAAGAAGTGATACTAGTAGAAAAGAGCAAGAGTCCAGTAGCACCTTAAAGACTAACAAAATTTGCGGCAGGTATGAGTTTTCACGAGCTCCTGCTCACTACTTCTTCTGAAAAAGATAACTTCTCCAGTGAGGTGATACGATAGCTATATTCAAATGGCTTGCATACAGAGAATGGAGAGGAGTTGTTTTCTGTTGCCCCCCAGAAGGTCAGACCAGAACCAACAGATTGAAATTAAATCCAAAGAGTTTTCGGCTAAATGTTAGGAGGAACTTCCTGATTGTTAGAGCGCTTCCTCAGGGGTGGCAGGCTCTCAAATTCAAATACCTTTTATTGGCATACAATATTAGAAGCATTTCCCAATAATACAATCCAAAAGAAATTATAAAATAGATAGTCGTGGCTATGTCAGGCCTAACTCAAGTTGCCACAAGCTAGATTTGACCATACAAAAGATGCCTGAATCATAAAATAAACTGGCATTCTAAACTTTTAAACTTAAGTTTTTAGACTTATAAATTAAGAATCATTAATATGATCAGGGTCACTCTTCCGTTTTATAAAACCATGGAGAAACTTAGCGGTCAGTTCAATGATCTCCGGATCTCTTGAAGCAAGGAGAAATTGTACCTTGATTCTATCCGATTGGCCTGAGGTGGCAGGCTCTCCTTCTTTAGAGGTTTTTAAGCCGTGGCTAGATGGCTGTCTGGCAGCAATGCTGATTCTACGACTCATTATGAATTTAGGCAGCATGTGAGCAGGAGGGCAGGGAGGGATGAGCCAGCGGTCGCCTCTTGTGGCCCTTTATTATACGCTTAATCACCACTTTGGGGTCAGGAAGGAATTCGCTCCAGACCAGACTGGCCAGGGATGCTGGAGGTTTTTTGGCTTACTCTGGTCATAGAACAGGGGGTCACTGGGGGAATGGAGGGGTGGGAGGTGGTTGTGAATTTCTTGTGTTGTGCAAGGGTCTGGACTAGATGACCCTTGGGATACCTTCCAGCTCTATGTTTCACTCACTGGCAGAAGAGGACAACAGAAGAGGACAGAAAGGGAATCTCTGCATGTGGGTATTTTGGTGACAGCAGAGATGCCTCATGTGTCCACTTCTTCATCCCGTATTTGCCATCTTCACCTTTCCTCCTACCTTTTGTGGCTCTTGAGTAGGCTGGGAGGGAGCTTACAAAAACCGTATGCCCCCTCCAGAGGGTCACAGAGGCCTGGATCCTACCACCCTGCTCAGCAAACCTGGAAGCCTTCTGGCACCTTTGGTGGCTTTTCCTCTGGCAGAACCACCACTTCAGTTTCAGGAAGGCCTCCATCTTTGGCAGGATGCAAGCCAGTGCCTGGGAGATCAGGTTGGCTTTCTGGGTGTTGACTTTTGCCAAGACGTTCCGAGAGGCGAGTAGAGTCGGGACTCCGGGGCAAGGGTCAAAAGGAGGGCCGGACATATTTGAGATGGCTGGTGCTGCTTCTGCTGATGATCCAACAGGAAAGGAAGGTGGTGCTCTTGAAATATCGTGGGAAATATCGATGGGCTAGGCTAGGAAAACCACCAAATGGCTACAGCTTAGATAATATGAGGCCTCGGAACACAACCGGGACGATGACGTGACAGCTAGCCAGTACGTTATTGCTCTGCTTCACTCAGGATGGTGTACGTGGGTGGCTCAGGATGGTGTACATGGTTCTCTTTTCCTCATTTTGGGTTAGGTCCAGCTAGAGCTAGAGCTCTCGTGCAAGTAGAAATGCAAGAAGAAAGACTGGTTGCTGCTTACACTAAGTCAAACTTATTGTATCTCCACTTGCATTCCCACTCGTGCAAGATCTTGTGCAGCTAATTTCTGGGCGTTATAATATCGAGGGAGGAAAGCACTTGGAGGCACACAAAATTCTGCAAAAACAGAACTACACTCAGTCTATCTGTTTCTGCTTGCATGTTGCCTTTGTCTTCACAACTACTCTCTGAAGTAGGAGACCTGAAGAGAGAGAGAGTGACCCAAAGCCTTCCTGCGGGTTTTGTGGCAGATTGGAGACTGGAACTCAGTCCAGCACTTGCACTGCTATGCCAAGTTGTCTCTGCCTTCTTGAGGACTGGTGTAGCGTCCAAGAGTGTGGATGGTGAGCCGGGTGTGCCCCTGGTTCAAATTCTACCTCAGCCACAAACTCACGAATTGGCTGCAGTCTTTTCTCCCAACCACTGCACATGTGTGACACTGGGGATATTAATACCAGGTAACCTTAAAAGCAAGCTGTATGGTTTGTTGAGGGAATGTGTTTGTGTGCGGGATTATTCTGCAAGGCTCTGTGTTGCTTTTGGGCAGTGGTAGAATTGCCTTATTTCCTTCACGAATAAACCAACAATTCCGTACCTCCTGCCCCAGGCCAGGCTGCCATCCGGGGGCTCGTTGCTGAAGGTCGCCGTCTCGCCAACGTCATGCTGGGACCATACCGCCAAGACCTGCTTGCCAGATGCGACCGTGTGGAACAGTTGGCAGCCCAGCTGGCTGATCTGGCCGCCAGAGGGGAAGGGGAGTCTCCTCAAGCAAGGACCCTCGCTGCTCAGCTGCAGGACTCGCTAAAGGTACAGGCTGAGGCCCTGATTTCATTGCACAGAAAAAGCAAAGCGGAAGGACTCTAGGAACTGGTTTGACTTCAGGCTGCTGGCAATCGCCACAATCTGGGGTTTGGGCTGCAGTCCACCAACCTTTGCCTCTGTGCATTCTCCACTGATTTATCTGCATTCCCATTCTTCTCAGTGCCTCAACCTGCCCTTGCCCCTGGTTCAGCCTCTGCGAAGAAATGCACTTTTTCTTTGGAGGCGTGGAATGAGCATCTGCAGCATCCTAAGTTAAGGAGCCTGTGTATATTTTAACATCTTATAGGGCATGTATAGAGAGAGGGACAGAGGAACTGCATTTTATCCATTTATTTTGAATCCCTTGCTTAATCTGGTGCTGTGCTAAAAGTATGCTTATGAACATTTGCTCTTTAATACATACCTTATAACTTTTGATGCTGGCTGTGGTTCTCTGTACCACATAGACCTCCACTGTCTAAGGCATGCTATTTTAAAAGGGAGTGTTGGTGGGAGGTGGGCAAGCGGCTATTCCTCCAGGGGTGCACAAGGCAGTAAGTGGTCCCTGTGGTGACCAGGCTCTGGCCAGCAGGAGACACAGAGGCACAGCCTCAGAACCGGGAAGGGAAGGTGGGAGTCCTGACTCTCTCAGCAGGCAATTCCTACAAAGGCCACGTGGTGGCAGTGGTTACCATTGGGAAAAACCTTGGAGGGCAGGGTGGAACGGGGCCTGCAGGCCAGAGTGGGCCTGTTCCACCACAGACTCACTTGGGCCCAAGTCTGAGGAAATTCTGTGCCTTCAACAAGCTGGAAGAGTGGAAGTGGAGGAAGCAGAGGAAGTTCCTTGCCAGAGTTTTGTTCAGAGCCCTCTCAGTGCGTTTGGCTGAGAGCCGCTGGCTTCTCTGGCCTTGCCCAACATTTATTTATTTATTTTAGTTTATTTACAAAATGTTGGCCTTTCTGCCCAAGCAGGGCCATTGAGCATCTCCTGTTCTGTAACAACCTCTCTCTCCTCTCCCGTTGCCCTCCGGAGGGTTTTGAATTGAAGGGAAGAGAGTAAAAATGTAGTGAGATGGTGCAGCTGGTTCAGTTGGGGCACGGGAGCATTAGCATCGGAGGATGCCGTCCTTCTCAGATCGGGTTCTCTTCTACGTTGTTTTTATGATCCCAGACGCTTCTTGTGGCTCGTCGTATTCTTGATCATTTTCATTTTTTAAAATTGTTTTGTTGCTTTTCCTTAGTGTGGCATCTTGAGCAAGTGTTTGGAGAGGCAGCGCTTAAATGTTCTAAACCAACAAACATGGAGGGTGGGGCTGCTGGGGGGAGCATCTTGCCATTCGGATAAGCGCTGCTCTCTCTGTGTCGGGGTAGGCCTGGCTCTGGTTTTTGGTGCCTAGGCAGGCGGCTGAGCAGAGTTTGAGCCAGACTTTGTCTGTATCCCACCCCAACGATCCATCTTTTTAAAAATTAATATATATATGTATTTTAGAAAACAGGATAATAATATATAAGTGATACAAAAAGAAAGAAGGATTATATAACAATATAGAAGGAATACAAAAGGATACATTGCGAGGTATATAATGCAGTAAACATTTCTATCCCCTTCATTATAATTTTTAAGACATTTTGAACAGTTTGAATCCCAGATTTCATAACTAATCTGTTTTATAGCTATATTATTAATTTCATCATTGCTACGTATTCTGTGTTAAATATTTCATTATTTCTACTTTTTCTTGTATTTCTACAATTATTTCTTTTGATATACCAAGATTTAAAGAAAAATCTATTATACATCGCACAGTAAAGAATATATTTCACAGTACAGAATTATATATTATATAACAGTAAAGGATGGAGAGTATTTTTGTTCAGAAATTAGTTCCTTATGCTTTCATATCCAAATAACATATTCCTAGCTTCCATGGGCAATTTGAATTTTAGTATATTCTGTAATATATTGAATTGTAATATATTCTGCCTTTTCCCATGTATTCCCTTCCAATATCTTTTTGCTGTTTTACAAGTCCATGCGTGTGCCATGCTTTACCAAAGCCTATTTATGCTTGTGTTTTTGACGTGGACTTTCTAAATCCCCGTTCAGGATCTGAAATCAAGGATGCAGGAAGCCATGACTCAGGAAGTGTCCGATGTCTTCAGCGACACCACCACTCCCATCAAGCTGCTAGCTGTGGCAGCCACGGCTCCTCCGGACGCGCCAAATAGGGATGAGGTGAGTGCGTGTCTGGAAGGAGGCTCTTGATAACATGGTTAATGTGAGCCGTTTAGCCAGCAGCCCACGCATTTTGTCTGGCCTCGGGAGCTGGCTGGATTGTTTGATTTTCAGGCTCTTGCCAACCCCCTTCCCCCCCCCCGGGTCTTGGAGTGGTTTGGAAGCCAGGTTCAGTGGCCCCCTCTCAGCTTGGAGGAGGGCTGGAGCTGCTTATGAGTCAGAGCTGGCCTTGCTGTCGGGGGAGGGTGGTCGAAAATGCCTGCAGGGGCGAGCACATTTGTGGACCTCCAACTCCAGCTAAATCCATATCTTTCTTTGTGCTTAGATTTTTAAGAGCTTGCATTCATGTGCCACCATCGCAGGGCCAAAGTTACTTCCGCAGCACTAGGTGGAAAAGCATCTTTCCTTCCCAGTCCTACTTTGTCATATGTTACGTATGCTGCCTTACCCAAATAGGTGGTTTCCTAATTATTTGGGGGAATTAGCTTAAAGGAGACAGAGCGAGAGGGGGTAACTGGGATTCTCTACCTATGTATATGGGGATTTTCCCCTTAAGAGAACTCTCAAAATAAACCAGGCAAATGTTCAACTGGAAAGGTTTTTATTAAGAAAAAGAGAAACAATAAAACCAAATGCACATAATAAACACACACAAACAAGAGCTAACTAAGAGGAACAAAGGGGGGAGAGGGGAGAAAGCAATTTCAGGGAAGGGCAATAATTACCGATCTTGGAGAGGTCCATGGAAGCAGCAAAACAACCAGTGTTTCAAGAGAGAAGAGAACCCAACGAAGTCGGGGTGTATGTGGAGGATCCAAGGCGTGCACACATGCACACATACACACACTCCTGGGAAGCAGAGTGCTTCTGACATGGGGCAAAACGTGCCCTCTGGCAGGTATGACGTATTTGTCAGAAGAACAATAATTTAATGGACTTTTCTAAGGTGGACAAGGATGTGTGAGAGGTTGATGACCCTACAGGTACCAGTCAGGACGGTCTAATGGGTTAGGTGAATAGAATGGGTGCGAGGAAGTGAGGCTGGGTGTTGATCTTGTTTCCGACTGGCATCATTTTGTGTCATTTTAGGCCAAGCAGTGTCTTGCACGTGATTTTCGAGGTGATATTTTAAGAAGGGCGATTATGGTTATTCTAGCTACAAACTGCCCCTCAGTGAGAGGAGGTGTCTGACTGCTAACAGCTGCTCAGAGCAGTAAAATCAGTGGGTAAAGGAAGGAAGGCGTGGCTTAAGGCTGTCCAGGGGCAAGGACACAGACATGCAAGAGGACCAATAGCTGCCAAGAAGGGTGTTGCTGAGACTGGGCAGGGAGATCTGTGTACATGGGTTGGTAGACATGTTTGGTGTAGTGGTTAGGAGCGTGGACTCTAATCTGGGAGAACCGGGTTTGATTCTGCACTCCTCCGCATGCAGCTGCTGGTGTGACCTTGGGTCAGTCACAATTCTTTCAGAGCTGTTCTCTCAAGGACAACTCTCGGGAGGTCCATAATGAAATGCAGAAAATTTTGAAATATACTTTTAAAAAAGAACCAGAAATATTACTTTTGGGCCTCAAAATGGAAGAAGTGAATGTATCAAAGAGAACATTGATATGGTACTTGATTACAACAGCCAGAATGACTTATGCTCGATGTTGGAAGCAAGAAAGAGTACCCGAACTATGGGAATGGATAAAGAAGTTACTTTTCATGGCAGAAATGGATAAAATGACAAGAAAATTGAATAACAAAGAAGATGAGGAATTTTTCGCAGATTGGAAAGATTTTAAAGACTATATTGAGAAACACTGGGATGTTAAGAATAATCTGTTTTGCTTTAATAATGATTAAGAATAGATTATAGATGTGTTAGAATGAAGTGGTTATAGAATAGGTTACCTACAAGGTTGAAAATTATGAAAAAGGCAGCAAAAGAAACTCTGAACTTTTAAGTATTGTTAAGTATATTAAAGAGAACGGGAAGAGCAAGAGAACGGGACATGGTGGGGGTGGGAATGCTGCGGGAAGCCTGAAGAAGGGGAGGGAGGGAGAGTTGAAAAAAGGGATGTCTTAAGAAAGATGAAATGGCTTAATATTGGACATGTTGTTATATCCAGATAATAAAAAATGTTTTTTTTAAAAAAAGGACAACTCTCTCTCTCTCTCTCTCTCTCTCTCTCTCTCTCTCTCGAGAGAGAGAGAGAGAGAGAGAGAGAGAGAGAGAGCGCTCTCTCAGCCCCGCCTACCTCACAGGGTGTCTGTTGTGGGGAGGGGGAGAGGAAGGAGTTTGTAAGCCCCCCTGAGACTCCTTTGGGTAGTGAAGGGCCATGGGGTATGAATCCCATCTCCTCCTCCTCTTCTTCTACTTCTGGTTTGTGGAGGTGAGGGATGGTCAAGAATGGTCTTGGCCAATGAGCAACTAGGGTAGCTGTCCTAGGCTGCGTGCTGGGGAAGCAGCCCCCCCAGCTAGAGACGAGGGGCTTTGGCCACCCACTTGTGGCAATGGCCATTTGTTCCTGCCATGTCTGGGCTCGGGCAGCTGGCTTCCCGTGTAAGTGGCAGCTTCCGCTGGTGATGGGCAGGGCATGGCTGCCCACTGCTTGGCCTTGGAGAGGGTGGCAGTGGGGGCATTGATTCTGGTGCCCCATCCTGGACTTTTGCCCCAGAATGGTGTAATGCATGGGGCAGGCCAGAATTTGGCCTGGTTCACACATGCTCATTCATCACTTGTATTAGTGAGTCTTGCACTTCACACATGCAGTTATCTGCTGAAGCGGCCCTCGGAGATGACAAGAAGAGCAGACGGATGCCACTGAATAGTACAGATTTCAAATAAAAATTGCCAATTTGCCATTTAACAGGTGCAGCTTTTGCGCTTCAGTAATTTTGGGTGACTTGCTTGGGTATATGTGGCTCGGTATAAACTCCTGGAGTACTTTTATCCTTGGTACTATTTGCTGATGAAGGTGTGTTTCAACTTCCAGATGTTTGAGGAAAGGGCAGCCAACTTTGAAAATCACGCGGCTCGTCTTGGTGCCACTGCGGAGAAGGCTGCTGCCGTTGGAACAGCGAACAAAAGTACTGTGGAAGGCATACAAGCCACTGTGAAGTCAGCAAGGGAACTCACACCTCAGGTCTTGACCCCCCTCCCCCTTATCACCCCAAATACCCCCCTAAGAAAAGGGCTTGAGTGTCTTGTGGCCCAAACGTCATGTCTGTTCATTTCAAATAATCGTGCTGTTGCTGTTAGTTATGGCTCTGCCGGACCAGACCCAGAGTTTAGAAACAGAGTATGAAGGTATTTAGTGTTTCCCATGGTTCATCTCCAGTGTTGGGTAACTAGGGGTATAACTGCCTCTGAATTAGGAAGTTCCGCTTAACTGCTGTGTCTAACAGCCCTTGATATCTCATGAATTTGCATGAGAATGTAAATAATGGCTAAAAACAACTTAACCTGATCTCTAAAGCGAGGACCCACATTTCTGAACTGTTGTTATTTAGTTTTTATTCGATTCCTTACGTCAGTGTTTTCAAAATGGTGGTCTGCAGTGTTGCTCCAGGGGTCAGCACGTTCTTGACCATCTTGCCGGAACAAGTGGGGAAGGGGAACACCCTGTTGTGGTAGGTGGTGGTTGAGGTCAGAAGAAACAGACAAAGAAGAGCTTCCTTACATGGTTAGGGTTTTTATGGCAGGATGTCCTTGGTCTAGTTCAGTGGTGGTGAACCTATGGCACGGGGGCCAGAGGTGGCACTCAGAGCCCTCTCTGTGGGCACGCGTGCCATCGCCCCAGCCAGGCCCAGACCATCATTAAAGTGTCGAATTCTCTGCCAAATAATTTTATGGAAATGAAAGCATTTGGGATTGCTTTCCTTACTTTGTTTGGATCATCTTAAATTAACGTATGAGTTGTTTTTTCTAAAGTAAAACCTCAGTATTCAGGTTAGATTTCCGTGTTGGCACTTTGCGATTAATAAGTGGGTTTTGGGTCACAGTTTGGGCACGCGGTCTCTAACACGGGTCTCTTGCAGAAATCATGACCTGAATAGGCTTGGGTGGTGGAAAGTGCCGTCAAGTCACAGCTGACTTATGGCCATCCAGTAGGGCTTCCGAGGCAAGAGATGTTCAGAGGTGGTTGGCCGTTGCCTGCCTCTGGGTAGAGGGACCCTGGACTTCCAGGGCGGACCCTGCTTAGCTTCCCAGAACTGACAAGATCGGGCGTAACCTACATAATTAGAAGATTGATTTGACTTCAGTCCTACTTGGAAGTAAGTCCTATTGAAATCAACAAGTTTACTTTAACGTAGATAGATCCAGGTGGTCAGCCGTGTTGGTCTGAAGCAGCACAAACGAAGTTCGAGTCCAGTGGCACCTTTAAGACCAACAAAATTTTATTCAAAGTGTGGCAGAGCACGCCTGATTTGGCCTGCAGGCCCCATTCCACCCTGTCCTCCTATGTTTTTCTCAACACCTGGAGAGGCTTTTCTTCCACTCTCAGGGTAGTTTGCCACCACCACCTGACCTTTGCCAGAATTACCCACTGAGAGGCTCAGGAATCCCAGCTTCCCTTCCAAGTTCTGAGGCCTGGCCTCGGTGTCTCCTGCTGCCCAGCGCCTGGTCACCATGGGGACAGATTATTGCCTTGTGCGCCCCTGGAGGAATAGCCGCTTGCCAACTGCCTGCCTTCCTCCTGGCGCTCCCTCCTACAATAGCGTGTCCAAGACGGTGGAGGTCTAGGTGGTACAAAGAAGCACTACCAACATCAGAAGTTATAAAGTGATAAACATCAGAAGTTAAAAGAAAATGTTCATAGCCATACTTTTAGCACAGCACCAGATTGAGCAAGGGATACAAAAGAAACGTGTAAAGTGCAAGACCTCGGTCCCTCTCTCTATACATACCCTATCAGCTGTTGAAATATAGGACAGGCTCTTTAGCTTAAAAGTTACAGATCTCTACATATTTTCTATCACCTTGAAGCTCCCTCCATCTGTCCAGGCCAACCACATAGTCAGTGGCTGCCTCCTTAGTTGGGAATCCTGTCTGCTCTCATGGCCTCAGCACTCAAGAAAAAGAGACCACCCTTCTGTTGCAAGGAGTTTTTATCAAATCTGTTTCTCCACCCACTGAACAGGTCACATCAGGTCAAAGAAGCGTTTCCCGGGGCTTCTTCCTGGAGATTATTCCTGGGTCCGCTCTAGCCTAAAGTCCTCCAATCTCTGTTCCCTGCTTGGAGAAGAGGAAGGGCTTGACCCACCCATTATCTCCTGTTAGATCTATTAGCATTTGTATGGAGGTGAGCTGAGGTACGCCTGGGAAGCAATTGTCCT